CCTTCCCCAGCAGCTCCGTTGCCCTTCTCTGGCCACGCTCCAGCCCCTCAAGGTCCTTCTGGGAGTGAGGGGCCCAAAACTGAACCAAATATTCAAGATGTGTCCTCACCAGTGTTGAGTCCAGGGGGACAATCCCTGCCCTAGTCCTGCTGGCCACACATTGCTGATTTAAGCCAGGATGCTGGTGGCCTTCTGGGCACACACTGGCTCATATTCACCCAACTATGGACCAACACCCCCAGGTCCTTTTCTGTTAGGCACTTTCCAGCCCCTCTTCCCCACGTCTGTAGCACTGCAGGGGGCTGTTGTGACCCAAGTGCAGGACCTGGCCCTTGGCCTTGTTGAACCTCCTCTGAGTTGCCTCAGGCCATTGATCCAGCTTGGTTAGATCCCTCTGTAGAGCCTCCCTACCTTCAAGCACACCCACCCAACTTGGTGGCATCTTCAAACTGTATTTGACGTAGGACATCCCTGCTTCAGCAATGAGGTGATTTAAGATGGAAACTTGTGGGAGAGGCAGGTTTCAACTTGGCCTAGAAGAATTAGAGCTCCAGCCTTTCCTACTGGGGTGGAGAGTGTCCTCTTGGACCCACAAGAAGCTGAGAGGAAGCCTATCTAGCTCCACTGTGCTTTTCCTAAGAAAGGTTGGACCAGATGACCCTTGAGGTCCCTTCCAACCTGGCATGAGATGTTTCTGTTGCTCCTTTTGCTCCTTGCCATGTGATTTTGTGGAGAAACAGGCTTTAAATCTCTCTAGAGTTCGCCATGCTCTCCTTTGAGGGGGTAAGAGGGACCATCAGTCCTGAGTCCAGCTAGCATCCACGCCTGAGCAGTCAGGCTTAGCTTCAACGTGCAGCTTTGTGGGGCTGGAGCTTGCAAAGTGCTCTGCAGGCTGCCCTGTGCCCAGGGAAACCAGTTTTGGGGGGCCAAGCTGCTGTCGTAACCCCGCGGCGCTGCGCCGCTGCCTCTGGAGAGGGCTGGAGGGTGCAAGGACAACCCTTCCACCGTCAGGCCGTGTGTCTCTAGGGCTCTAGGGCTGGGTCTCCAGCGTGGAGGAGGAGGGCTCCGTGGGAAGATGCTTTTCCCACCTCCCCGGGGATGCCTCAGCCCTCCTCCGAAGCCGTTCCCCGTGGGAGGACGGAGGCTCCGCAGCCAGGCACCCGTGGGGCAGCTTAAGGGATGCAGGAGACATCCAGCTCCAGCAGAGGCAGGTAGCAACCATCTTCCTCCTCCTTATCCCAGAGTGTGTGACCCCTTCCCCTCCCAGCCCTGGAGCAGGACACCGCCGTGGCAGCGTCAGCTGTTTGGGGAGAGCAGAGGAGCTCCACTCACCTGCCTCTGCCAGTTGTAACCATTTTTCCCTTGCCTGTGCCCAGGTTTGGATGCCAGTCCCCCGGCCAGTACTCATGAACTCACCATTCCCAATGATGTAAGTAAACCCAAGTCTTCCTCAGCACGTGTGTCTCCGTGTATATCTCTATATACCCTATATAGATATACACCTAAAAGCTGCAGGTGTATGATGTGGTTGACTCTCTTTCAAGATGACCCTTCCCCAGGTTCACCCACACCATGAGTTGGGTCCGTCGGGGACCAGCCTGCAAACAAAAAACACCCCTTGGACTTGACCCCTCTGGTAGCTTTCCTAGATGCAATCCTTCTCCACGCTCCTTTTCCCTTTCCAAGTGAACTCAGGGCTCATGAAACACGGCCCCGTTGACAGCACTGGGAAGGGGTGGAAGCTCTCCAACCAGCCTTGATGAACCCATAATTGCTTCATCAAGCACTGGCTCCAGCATTGTGGCTGTGGGGTTGGAGATGAGGTAAGTAAATAGGGCTCCTAACACCACGACGTGTTACCCAAGCTTCTGAAGGATGATGCGTCTCCTCTCAGCACTGGTGGGAGGCAGCTTTTGGGTCTTGTAGATGGAGATGTGGTGGTCAAGTGACTGTCAGGATGATGGGAGGTTGGCTGGGAGGAGCCTGGAGTCGCACGGGGGCACCAAGGAGGATGCCTGAGGTGGAGAACTTCACACAACCAGCTCCTGGATTCAAGGATCTCCCTTGCTTCTGGACTGCCCCACTGGTTTCCAGGGGTTGATAACCACTGGGTGTCCACCTCAGGATCATGGCAAGCAATGGGATGGTTTCATCTCTCTGTCCCTGTCTCCATCACCCACAAGCACCTTCAGCCCATCCTCATCGGGAGTTTCTGGATTGGGTCTAGCAGTTGTTGCCACTTCTTCCAGCTGTTCACCACTGCATGTCCTCCACGCTGGGACATTTGGGAGGCCTCCTTCCAACCGAGAGATCCAGCAGTGAAACAGCTCCTGGGCCTCTGCCAGCTGACACCCTGAGATGCTTGGACGTGGGGCCAACCCCCATGGGAGGGGTCTGCAGAGGAGCCCGTGTAGGATGGCAGCAGGGCTGATCCTGGGTCTGCTTCTGGCCAGCCACTGAGGACCCCACTCTTGGAGGCCACAGGGAGCTCTGCAAGTGTTTCTGAGGTCAAGCTGTCAAGCGTGGAGGGCTGTGGCCCTGGCAGCAATGAGAGCATCTTCAGGAATATCAAGAGGTCCTTCACATAGGGGCCTTTCCTCCCCTTTAACGTGCTGCAGGACCAGCCATGGGACCTGGGAGCATTCAGAACATTCACGTGCTGAAAGACCAGCTCTCATCTGACCTGCACAGGGTTAAATGTCATCACCTGCATCTTTCTGCCCATGGAAAAAATGCCTCCTTAGATCTGCTTTGAAGTCTGCTTGTGGCTGCACTGCAGGGGAAGGGGAGTTGAAGGGAAGCTGATGTTGAAATCCATCCTGTCACTCCTCTCGAGTGACAAAGAAACTTGAACACTGTGCAGAAGACACTTGGATGTTGCTGAACATCTTTCCATAGACGTTGTTCTCCTCAGGGGTCCCCAGCAGGGATTATTCATTTATCTCTGAGTTATTGACTGCACCATGAAGACCACGATGGGTGGCTGTTAGGTTGAACATCACCCTCTAGCCCCCAAAATAGTTGCCACCCTCCCAGTCCTGCAGTGGGGTGTATATTCAGGTCCACAGGGGGCAGCCCCATGATCTGACAACAGGACCAGCGAACACTTGGAGGAGTTGTGGTCTCTGCTTCTACAGACAGCAGCAGAAATCCAGCAGCTGCCAAGATGCCACATAGAAAACTCCCAGTGCAACCTTGGGAAGGAGCTCAAGCTCTGGTGGACAAGCAGGGCACGTGGAAGCACTTTGTGCCTGAACTGGAAAAGATGGACACCTCGATATGTGTTGCCAACTCGTGGAAGTGCTCAAAGGAACCACACTTTGATGCACAAATGAGCAAAAAGTTGATCACTGAGGAGATTCAAACCGTTGAGGACCACTAAGAAAATTCAAGCCTCTAGAAGTCGGGTACAATTCTTTCACAAGAGTGTGAAAGATGTTTTCAAGCAGGATGCTCCTCTCCTGCTGGTGCTGCAGCCACGTGGTTCTCTCCAGTCAACGGCATCCACACTTGGCGAGCCCTTCCATTGCCCCAAAAGAGCTGAAGGGGGTAACAGAGGCAGCGATGACGTCCCAGCAGGGTAGAAGAAGCGTGGGGTAGGGTGAGCAATGGGAAGCTCTCCATGGTGTGGTGATGAGGGAGAGCTTGGGGTTGGGTTGTCCCTGGGGAAGCTGCCAGCCTTGTTCTCTCCTCGTAACCCATCTTGTAGAACCGAAATGAGCTTGGGGTAACACCTCGCCCTTCCTGAAGCCTCCTGAGATGCTGGGCATCATGCGTGGATGCCTGAAACTTGCCCCATAAGAAGCAGAGCAGGGCAGCTGCTGGATAGCCCTGGGAGGACCGTGGCCGTGTGCGGGTGGGCTTCACCCCCGGGTTGCCCCTCTCTTGTTTTCACGAGCACGAAGTTCACTCGTGCCCTAGAGGGAGGAAAGCTTCTGGGTCCCACCTCCGGAGCTGCTGCTTCTCAAACCTTCCCTCCGTGCTTTTTATTTCTTTTTTTCCCCTTAGCTAATAGGCTGCATCATCGGACGCCAAGGGACCAAAATCAATGAAATTCGGCAGATGTCGGGAGCGCAGATCAAAATCGCCAACGCCACGGAAGGGTCATCGGAGCGCCAAATTACCATCACGGGAACCCCTGCCAACATCAGCCTCGCGCAGTACCTCATCAACGCCAGGTGAGACC